GGGGAGGGGGAGGGGGAGGAGGAGTTGAAGGCACTCAGCCATGCTAAATCTTATTTTACCGATTCAGGGCTCCATCCTCTTGGAATGATGCGAGTGGGCGATGGGGAAGGGCAGTAGACAGCCCAACGTAACTGTGTCGAAGCTCCGGTCTTCTTGGAATGAGATATTGGTCCTACAATCTGCCCCGGAATAGAAAGCGTGGTCATTATTGCTGTATCTGGACTAAAAGTTACCCAAAATACAGCCACAATGACCATGTGTTCTAATCAGGGAAAGAAGGTAGCATCGTCCTCCATCGCAGATCATAGGACATGGTATGCATTTGAAATGCAAAATAGCAAAGAAAAAAAAAAAGAAAAAAAAAGGCACAACAACATTCCATGAAAAAATAAGTTGTTGGACTCCCCCTCCCGGCCCATGTGGTTGAATTGCACACCCATGAACTGTCGATAAACAGACTTAAAATCCAAATCCTGATGGAATAGCTGGGGCCGTTCAGTTGGATGATACCCGAGGCTGCCCCCTTTTATATTAAGGAAATGAAAAACAAATTGTTGGATTTGGTTTTAAAAAAAAAGAAGGGAAAAAGTCGGTTGCCTTCGATCAGAACCGTAAGAGCCCGTTTGTCTGTTTTGCAATGGAGTTGTTGTCACAAACGGCAATCAGGCGATGGAAAAGGCCCAAGAGGGTGGCCGCAGTTTCTTTCTTTCCATGGTTGTTGAAACTGCTTGTCTGGGTGCATGCCTCCTCTGCTGCCCTGTTGTGGGCCCGTTTGTGGGCCCAGTTGTATGAAGAAGGTGGCATGACACCGGTTCTGAGTTCAAATGCTGATGGAGACAGATTGATATAGTAATGTCAGGGCCTCCCACCTTCATAAGGGTAGGGTAGCCCTAACCTTGCTGCATTCATCTGATTCGAACTCATGATCTATTTATTAAGAGTTACATGTTACATGTGTGTAACATTCAGCCACCTGGGTTGGGTTATGCTGCCTCTTTTTGTCTGCATTTCGCAATCTCTCTCTCTCTCTCTCTCTCTCTCTCTCTCTCTCTCTCTCTCTCTCTCTCTCTCTCTCTCTCTCTCTCTCTCT